ATGGACTGCAGTTGGGATTCTAGGTACGTGTATCTGTAATCATGTGGAATCACCTTGTCACGTCCGGGCTCATCATCTCCTGTTATTTGTTAGGATTTTGGTTGTTCATCAAATCCATAAAATACTAGTCAACAAAAAAGAAAGAAAAAAAAGGACTGCTTTTTCCCTTCCAGATGAGAGGAGGTTCTCACTGTGATCTCGGCATCTCTGTTGATCTTTTGAGTTGTCTGAAGAGCAGATGAATGTGCAATGACTCAGTGATGCTGAGTTTCTACAAAATTTGAAGTAAACAGTTCTGATGTCACCCCAGGAAATCTGTGCAGCTAAATGGATGTCTCCCATAGCTGGAGAGGGGGAAAAGGAACACAAATACACGCTGAACACCAAGATAAAACAGGCTGTTAGCCTAACAGAGTGAGGAGCTTGTTTGGGGAACTGCATCTACGTCACTTGGATCACCATGGCGATGCTCTCCATCTCCTCCCAGCCTCTGGTGGGTATCTGTTCAGACCGCAAAGTCAGCAGTCTCAGGCATTTCAGCATGACTTACAGTCAGGACAGTAAATGTCCACGGCTGGGAGTGTGGCGAGTTTGAAGGAAAAATGTCGGTGTAGCATCAACTTTGTATTAGACAGTTTTCACCTTAGAGTTGCACTAATATTAGTGTTATTTCCCACTCTCTAAACTCCTAAAGTAAATTTCAGCATTTTTTGTCTTATTCAAATATCTGCATTGACACAATGGAAGCATTGGTTAGTGTTGCCTTTCAGCAGCAGCTGGAAATCTCTCCCTGCAGAGCAGCATCACCATTCAAAGCACATTACCACAGCTTCTCCCCACCCTGGGGGGCCAGGATGGGCTCAGGCCAGGCAGCAGCAAAGCCCCTCCAGGTCTGCAAGGGATCAGTACAAGTCCCTCCACATCCTCCTTAACTGCAGTGTAGTTACCTTTCTATAAATGCAGAAAGCAGCAATCTTCCAGCCTGAATGAGAGTCAGCCCCTGGAAGGGGTAAGGGCGGAGAACCAGACGCACTGCCTGCTCCAGGGCTGCCCGCACTCTGCAGCCCGAAGGCTGTCACAGGCATGCTCCCAGCTTGAAATAAGACAAACAGTGAAATCTGGGCTTCAGGGCAGGTTTAAGAGCAACCTGAATGGATCTCTGTATGCACAGCCACCCAGGCTGCCCTAATTGCTGCCAGAGGCTCAGCCTTCAGCAGCTCCTGAGTTAAGGGTATGAAGGAAAGGCCACTGCTGCTCTCACTGTCAGTCAAAGGTGCTGATCTGCCATGCTTTCATTTTGAAAAACTACCAGTAAATCAAGCCACTGACAAAAGGCACAGAAAAGAAGGACACATACCCTGGCACTTTGCCTGTTGGCTTTTTTCTCCTCATCAGGAAGTGGTGGCATCGGGTAAGGGTATTTTCTGCTGGAAGCAATAGATCCAGTGGACGAAGACGGAGACTTTGCAGGAGACAGTGTCCTGGGATGTTGAAACACACAAAATAAATGTGATGTCTTCAGGTCCTAGCACTGCAACAGCAACTGCCATTACTTTGAAGCTTGGTTCAGAGCCAAGTATATAGTTTATTATTAGCTCAATACTGGGGGTATAAAGTTGTTTGACCAGTAGTCTAGTAATTTAATTATATGAATAAAGGTATTTATAGCTTTCAGGAACACTGGAAATAAAATAAAATTGTCTACTTATTAGAATTGTATTGCATAACAAAAGCTATTTCTTAAACTGCTTTATATGGTACTGTAATTAAACATTATAAAAATTAACAAACCAAATCTGCAGTTGAATACAGAACTAAAAGATAGACATGGCATTATGAAGCCTAAATTGAAACAGTGATCATATAAATACAAGCTGAACAATGCCTTCTGTCAGTGACTAAATGGCAATTATCAGTGTCTTTATGCATATCTTGCACATCTCCTATATTGATACAAACATAACAAATAAATCTACTATTTTATAACAACACATTGATTTACACAAATGCATGCACTCTAAGGCCAAACTGTTAGTTGTGAAGTAACAAAGGCATATACAAAGTGCTAATAACAAATTATTAGACATGCAAGCATCATACAGTGCATATTGTTCCAGCCAAAGAAAGAGTCTGATGAGAATATACAAAAATGGACTGATTAGTCAATGGCAATCAGCATTTCTGTACAAGGTGAGTAGAGTATGCAGGAGCAAGTAAATGTTTGTATCACATGAAAGGAATTCTTTTCATGTCAATAAGGCAGCAGCACATTATTGACTGAAATTTTATACCCAAGAAAAACCCTTATGCTTCTGTTTTGAGATTCTGCACTTTTCCCACTTGAGAGATTCCTATCAGGCTCTAGGTTTGGGCAGAATAAAAGGGAAATGAAGCCTCAAAGTAGAAAAATTAAGCTACCCTGGCCTTCTCATTCTGTTTTGCAGACTGAGGGCATTTTCCAAAGGAGGCCTTCCCAGTAATGAAGGCACATGTCCCAGACCCTCCCTTACCACTGCTGCCTACCATCTTCTGAACTTAATGGGTCCCTGAAGATGGAAGTTTTCCATCTGTTTCTATGGACAGGTCTTCCAAGCCCCGCAAACACAGCAGGGGGCTGTGTGTTGTGCAGCTGTAGACCCCGGTGATGAGCACCATCACTGATACCACAGGGCCACAGGAGCCACCTCTGGCAGACAGCCCCACATCCCTGGCTGTGGGATTTGCAGGATCAGGCCCTTTCATCTAGAGAGGATTACAGATGAGGCGGGGACTCTTTTGTGCCTGGAATTGTTGTGTTTCTCTAAGTGAAATTCATTTATTTTTAACTAATTACTATTTTATTTTGGACTAGTGTATCATTTTGTTGGGTCTGAAGCTCCCTACAGCACCACACTCTTGTCTCCCATACAGACAATGATTGATGGCAGCCACGAGCAACAAGGCGTCAATAGAAATTACATGGTGAGAGCTCTCCAATCTGGCTCACAATGCTCTAATGCCTAAAAGATTCAGGTTGGTACAACTGTCCAAACACTGAAGAGTACATCTTCAGCACATGCACTTTGATCACCCATTAAGATGAACTGGACACACATTAACGTTTTCAGGAAGAAAATTTTAAACAGCTACTGCAGTTTAAAACAAGGTGTTCATATGTCCAGCATCACCAATCTGGGCACCAAACTGCACATGCAACAAAACAGGTTATTTTTAAATAACAAAATCCAGAGAAAGGTTCTCAACAGTGCTCTGCTGTTCACTATCCCTACAAGTTCTCTAATCTCTGCCCACACTTGGACTGACAAAGATCACTAATAAGCTATTAGTGGATCTAAAATAAAAAAATAAGGAGAGGATGAAAAGGGGGGAAAAATGAAGAGGTTTTACATATTATTACTAATCCAGTTATTCACAAATGTTGCCCCACAGCTGCAGGAGGATTTAAAATCTTCATGTTTAAATTTATAAGGATGCACCTGCAGATTAGAAGCAAGGGACTGGGGGGTGCTCGGTGTCTTGGCAAGCCCTGTCAGAAAGCTGTTAATATGGGTAGAACAGCCAGGAGGTGGCACACAGAATGAAGGCATCTCCTATCCCTTGCACATCAACTCCTGCACACCACGAGCTCTTCCCCTGCGTTATTTTAGGCACCACAGGAGAAGGCCATGCTGAGAAGGAAAGCCATAGACAATATACCTGTCAGCCTGAGTAGGTGATCCTGGCAGGAGCAATAATCATCCTCCACAAGGATGGGGCATCTTGAACACCTTCCCTGCACAAAAGGTCCTCTGAGCAGGATCCCTAGCTGAGCCTGGAGCCAGGGAGCTTTGCACTGTAACTCAAACAGAATGCTTCCCTTTCAAAAGACTTTGAAGCCCAGACCTCCAGTGTAGCTACCTACATTTCTTTCTTCTCAACCCCCTCTGCACTGCCTGCTCACCTATGGTTTGCACACCTGATATGCGCATTGCTGCTCACCTCAATGTGCAAAGCTACTGCCGAATATATTGAGGATGCAGTTGCACACTTACAGAAATGACCTTGCCCCCCCCTCACAGGCCTTTGCCCCTTATTTCTGTTATGTGCTGCTTTTTGTCATCTTTAATGCCATCTACTGAGACTGTGAAAACATATCACTACTAAGCATACACTCACAGATCTTAGGATGCATCTTGTGCGATAAGCACAGTTCTTTGAAATGTTTTTGATCATCTTTCCAGTTCTGCCCTGCAATTGTGTATGTGCTGTGTATCAGCAGATTTACATATACTTTAAATGAGAAAGAGCCAGAAACAACCTTTCTCATTTACAGGATGGAAGAAAGACAGCATTCAGGGACACTTGCGGGTAATGCTGGGGTTAAAGGTAGACAAAACTTTGCAGTTTTGGTCAAGGGTGGGATCCATTTAGCTTTCACTGGGGTTTTAGTTCTCCTGCTATCAAATCCATTAGCTTTCATCCCAAATGTTGCTTCCAACTGAAATTTATACAAGAAGCTATGCCTTGCACACGCCACAACAGAGATTCAGGGGTTTTACTGCCAACCCCAAATGAAGCCATGCACCTCAATGCGCCGCAAGAATTCAAAGCAAGATATAGTGGCCACTTGGTGTCCACCGTTCTGTCCTGGAAGCTGAAACTAAGAGTGTGGGCAGACCATGCTGGGATTCACACCAAAACACTGTGGCAGTGGGAGGACATCTGCAAGCGCTCTCCTGCAGCCACGCACCTGCCTGCTCCGCCTTCTCACCTACACGGGGAGAGTGTTGGCCCACAAGAGGCGGTGTGAAATGTGTCGCCTAGTCACACAACTAAATGTCTTGCGACTTTGCGTGTCACCTGAGCTGAACTCAAGGCAGTTGGCCCTGGCAGATCTGAACTGTTCACAGGCTGTGCTTGATTCTGTTTCATAGACTGAAATAATTTAATGAAATTCACTTAACGTTCAATGTGGCAAAGGCATTTCAAGCCCATATGTAGATACTATCAGCCTAACCTGACCTTTGCTGCTGTAGATTCAGCTCTTTGTAGGACATCATCAGCCTAAATTATCCTATATTAGGAAGCTGAGATCTTCCAAAAACTCTGATGTGGCTAAACAATTCAACATCTTAAATGCAGTTCCTTTTAAAAAAACACAGGTGTGAGCAAGTTTCCTTAGAAAGTGCAGCAGCAGAGGGGAGGCTTGGCTTTTGGGGGGCTGCAGAAAAAGCAAAGGCTGTGGCTTGGGCCATCCACTTTAAGCACTGCACAGCAACGCCCCAGAAGCAGGCACTCACACACTTTAATGAACTCCTTTCCCTAACTCCTGAAATGAATCTTGATCCTACTGACATCATCAGGCATTTTTTTAAAATTGGTTGCCAACAAGGGCAATATTTTGCCTTGGTTATAATAGGGAAAACGTTTTGGTTTTGTTGTTTTTTTTTTTCCTTCAAGCACAGCCTAAAGCTGCCTCAGCGAGAGCAGGGAGCTAATGGCTGGTCACAGCTCTGACCCCAGCAGGATATTCACACAAGAAGGCAATGGACCTTGCTGAACAGCAGAGCCAACTCCAGCTAATCATCAGCTGAGGAGGAGCTGAGAAGAAATTGAGGAGGAAAGCAACAACACCAAAGCACAGAAAAAACAGGAGGAAAATGGATAGCTTGTTGTCTCCTGCCCTCCATGCTCCTTGTCAACGCCTTCCTGATATAGGGTGGTCATTTTCCCTCTAAGTATGCATCCTGGGTCTCCATCTAAAAAAAATGAGTTTTTTTTCTAAACTATTTTTATACTTAAGCAACTCCCATAGAATCTAAGTTACTGTAAATATTTGCATTCAATCAAACGTAGGCAGCTCAGTGCTTCAGAAGGTCCTTTCTAGTCTTTTGTTGTCTACAATTCTCTCTACAGAAATGCCACATTTTGGGATTCTGACAGTTTATTTTCTGATACCATCGTGGTTCCTGAGTCTTTCAAGATTCAGGGAGGATTTTGAGCAATTCTTAACCATATTTCATAATGTCAGTCTGTGCAGTAGCCACTGTAATAGGCAGTAACAAAAGCAAGTAGTAGTATCACACTGGTAAAACAGTATGACTTGCAGCAAAGCTGAAATCAGGAAAAGGCTTCCTGCCTGGGTTTATTGCTGAGGTGATGCAGCTATGGCCTGGCATGTAAAACTAAATCTAGCCTAGACTTTAAGCATTAAAATGAGATTTTTCTTTACAGATCTTATTTTCTAACAGAAGGGAATCCCACAGCTGGGAGCTTTCTGGCGCCAGAGACACCAGCTACTATTATTACTATCATTAATAAAAAGTAATTATATGGAAATACCCATTAGACTTGTAGACTCGGAAAAATAATTAATAACTAGGACACTAGGTGTAAGAGAGACAAACTTTGATTTATACAGGATTTTTTTAAGCTGATGGCAAAAGTCTTTGTGATGACTAATATTTCTGTTTTCTGAAAATCTACAGCATTCCTAGGAACT